TGTGTTCATCTGACCGGAGACTGGAACCAAGTGAACACACTGGTCTCAGGTTGTGGTCGTTGAAGTCAAAGGCGGCCGAGTAACAAGCTCCGCTGTTAGGTGATCGTCACTTATGGTATCCAACCATGTTTCTGTTATATCGATGTCATGTGATATTATCATATGTGCAAGTCTTAAAGTCATATTCTTTACCGCTCGTCAGTTCACAGAGAACACCGTCAATGGTACAACTGTCATTGGAGGGTCTTTCATCACAGCTACGTATACCGTTGTTTGGTTGCTTTGATTTACACCATGTTGATGCATATCTCTGGGCTGGGCTTGGGTTTATTTAGAATGGATTTTTCTGCCCGCTCTGCAGCCTCTCTTCTTGATCTTGCGGCCACCACTTTTCTTAACCTTTCTTTTAGTAAAGGCAATGATAAGGCAATAAAAAACAGAACTATAAAAGATTACACTTTTGCTGTTTCACACTGCTTATGGTGAGAAACTCTCTTGCCACCAAATCCCACTAAAACTGACATTGAAAATACATATGAATCAGTTATCTGGACTTTACAGAAAGCTGCATCAGAATGTCTTCCAAGTAGGAAATACAAACCCTTCTTAAAACCATATTGGAATACACAGGTAGCATCTCATCACAACCACATGAGACTAGCAAGACAAATCTGGAAAGACGATGGATGCCCAAGAGGGATGGAATTTGACTCTTTTAAAACCTACAAAAAAACTAAGGATATATTCAGAGATTCCCTAAGATAAGCAGCGCAAACGTCTGATTCTGAATACTTCAAGGATCCGGATAACATACAGGACATTGGCCAGAAGCTGTTCTGGTCGCTACTGAGAAGAGGAAGTAGTAACAAACAATTGAAAATGCTCAATGTTGATGACTTTGTCATACCAAAATAATATATATCATCTCAGTTATTTCTCACTCGGTTGTATTCCCTCAGATATGACTGTAGCATTACATCACTGGGCTTCATACCTGATATTCGTCGACTTCTACACAGATATTAGTTGCAAGAACATTACCAATCCCTTTTAGCAACAGGAGCATTCATGACGTACATGTCCTGGAAGAGGAAGGTTAAAGCCACTATTAAGCAGCACGAAGAGAGGCAGTGGGTGACCAGAATGGATGAAGATCCCGATCTGAAGCATTTCAAACTGATTCACCCCCATATCCAACCTCACATAGCCTGGTTGGTAGACAAGAGTTATTTTTTACTTGATAACCTTTTGCAGAGTGGTTGTCCAGCTATGCGTGTGTTGGAGACCTGGCAAAGTCAAGGGACAATGTAAACTGTGCCACGAGGATTACTGTGATCTTCTGGTGCTCACTGTGTGCTTCTGTTCTGGAACATCTGACATTAGCGAGAGTCTCTGGTGCGACATCATCAACTGCAGTCCAATTGAGGTGAGTGTCTGCCTTTACAACGAGAGTGACATTGCACTGATATCCATGCTTCTATCTTGCAGACCTCCGTTACAGCTGAATGATGACGAGACATTGCAATTTGCCAAAACCATCATAACTCACATTGCATCCTTCAACAAACCTGTGGAACTCTGATGGAACTGTGTGGCAGTCAAACTAAATTATCTTTTCATTTAAAAAACAATAATAATAATAATAACCAACAAAGAAATGGATGTTTGTTGTAATTTAATATGCATCTCATTGTACTCTCCTTTGGAGGAATAAGGCTTATATGATTTCATTTAACTGATCCAGCTGTTTGTTGTTAACAGTACCCGGGGCTGTTCTGAGTGATGTAAGCGGATCAGGCCCGCCTTGCCCAAAACTGTCTCTAACTACTTTGTTGTATAAATAAACACGTTGGGCTATGCGGGGATGGTTATAACCTTTGGGGTTAATCGTACTAACTAAACACAAACTTCTATACAGGTGGATATAATCTGTTCCAGTTTACTATCTGAACCTACATTTTAGACCCCTACACTTCTAGTCCTTAAACAATAATTTATAAGCTAAAATCTATTAAATAGGAAGCAGCATCAGGAAACATGAACACGTCAATTTCGCCATATCGATATCTGGAGTCTGGAGGTGAGTCTGCAAAATCTCGCTACTTCGGCCTGGATCTTCTTGTACTTTGCTCTACTTGTGGCCTGGAGTTGGATGATTGAAATTTCATTCTTGGTCTGTATTGTCTTGATGGACACAGGGATGAACTTGTACAGATTAGAATGTCTTGATGGCGTTAGGGTTGAATTAATGGGTGCCACCCTTCAAGATGGTTTGTTGTTCAGGGGGCCCTGGGTGTCAAAGTAAGCGACAAACTTCTTTCGAAGTTGTCCGACTTTATATATTATACAGCCTATACCTTGCAACGACATCACACTTTGGTCTTTGGGCGGGAATAGGGGAAATTGGATTTTGACCTACACCATGTAAGCTGGTTCCTGCTATAGACCATGGATTGGGTCCCATTGCCTTTCCCAGGTGTGTCGACAGGGCTGATGGTAGCGCTCGGATTGTCATTAACCCAGGACTTCACATTATTGATACAGAGAGCACACCAAAATATCAGCAAAAAAACACATGATCAAAAACAGATGTTGAAATTCACATTTTGATTCTTGATGATTCCTTATGATTGTGCATGCCAAATTGAAATGTTAGGAACCAACATCAAACCTTGCTAATTAGAAACATCTCTTAGAGCTGAGATAACCTGCTGCTTTAGGGCAAAGGCATGTCACTTGATCACAAATTAATCCGCTGTACAAATGACTTAGTTGCTTTGCGGCGCACTCAGCAATACTCAGCGCACTCAGCATTTTTACCATGTTTACCATGTTTCATGACGCACTTTAATCCAGAAATTCGCACGAGGAGACACTTAAAAGTTTCCCAAAAGAATCCCAACCGAAGATATTCGAATTATCACTTAACTGACCACATTCCATCAGGTGGAAATCGAACATGAATTCTCTTTGAAGGTTTCAAAGAGGGAAATACCATTCTTGCTTAATGTTTGCATATGTTTCTTGACCCATTTTAACTAGTATCGCAAAAAAAAAGACATGTATATGTGTCTTGACCGATTTATAATCAGATTCCCCAATAACTCATGCGTGGACACATCTCAACATAGCGGAATAGGTAACGGTATCTGGACTCAACGTTTCCTATTTTCGTGATGGTAATGAGATGATGTTGGTCGATGCCAAGCCATCTGACTCACATTGATAGCGAGGCATGTGCCTGGTTTTATAAAGGGTAATGCACATCCCCTGCACCTGTTTCCGGGGTGTAAACATATTTCCGATTATGCTGACAGTGTTTGGAACGGATCATCTTCCAGAAGGAAGCAGCAACCTAGGTATATTATTCCAAGGACATGGATCCTGTGTTACAATTTGTCACTCAGTGTGATATTAGTACACCAGAATCCAAACTTATCTTCTATTTGTTAGAAAGTAATAAGGTATGTCAACCCAAAGCCGTGTCACGTGGTTGATACAGCTGCTCACGATGATGATGATGATGATTATGATGATGATTATGATGATGATAATGATGACTCTATCTTTTTGGGTCTAACTTCTTAACATGCTCAAAATGAGCAAGTGGCAAAACCGTACTGATGAACCTATTTACCAAGTGCCGCGAAGGCTAATTGAGATACGCACGGGGAGAAGGGGTGATGACAGAAGAGTTCATTGAACAATGCATATTAGTATAGAGTGAGGGCAACAGAAACTATAACAGTGGATATATTTTTGATTTTCAATGGGATATGTCTCAAGTCAGCGATATTGTTTATAATGAATTGTACTGGCGTTTACTCAGCATTAAAAGAATATGCCTCACGGGACTGAGGTGTATATTCGAGCGACGTAGGTCATGCCTCCCTCGCCTGCGATGTACATACCAGGGACGTAGGTCATAAGTCACGGGACTGATGTGAACATACAAGGGAAGTAGGTCATAACTCATGGGACTGCGATATAGATACGACGAAGGGAGGTCGTGCCTCCCTGGACTGCGGTGTTCACACGAGGAAGGTTGTTCACACCTTATCAGACTGCGATGTACATGCGATGAAGGTAGGGCATACCTCAAGAGCCTGCGGTGTACACACACGGAGCTAGGTCATACGATGTGTACAAGGTGTTTTTGTTAACTGTCCAATAAAACACATGACACGCTTTATGGATAACAACTTTAATTCTTGTCATGACGCTTCAGACTTTAAATACCTTGCTATAAAGACGGAAGAAATGTTAGTGATATACATCATCATCAATGTAAAACAGGTACGTGACAAATTCACCATGCGACAGCATGACCTTCATGTTCATATTAACTGCACAATGGTACCAAGTGAGATATTATTCAGCCAGGTATCACTCCCATCTTATAAAAGGTGAAGCCATATTCCAGCATGGTCATAACATATCGTACACCAGGCGCGTAGGAAGCCATTATATTTCATGTAAGGCCGAGAGGCTGCATGATGGCTTGCCCAACATTCATAGCAAAAATCATCGGGCATTTTTTATAATGGTAGCTACGCCCCTGTACAAACCATGGGTCACAACAACACCTGTACAACAAGGCACTTGTTGGTCCTGCCCAGGTCTGGTATCAAGAAATTTAACCCTTTTGATCCGTAATTTTAGATGAGTTGGAAAGAGGGTTCAGACAATGTTAACCAGGGCATCAGATGACTTAAAGAGCATGAAGTTTCAAAAGATTTCATATCACCATTAGGACTGAACATGAGAAATACAGACGGTTTGTCAGAAAAAGGAAAAAGGACAGTACGAGGCTCATATGCCATTGTCAAATGTCTAAGTGGCATTTAGTACAAGATATTATTAGTGAGATCTGTCATATGTTTAGAATCTTTTACACTCTGTGAAATGATGACCTCCATTGAACTTGAACATATCAATATGTTACTAAATACATGATTTTATCATAGATTTCGACTGGTCATTTGTCGGTCACTTTTGTGTTATTTCAGTCCGATGATAAAAAGGAAGTTGTCCTTCACCGACTCTGCCGTGTCCTTCAAACTATGTCTCAGTCTTGAGTCTGGCCAGGCAGAGCTGGGCTTCATTGCTGATTTCACTCGCTGAAACAGATGAGATCAGGGATAATGAAGGAGAATTGAAGGATAAATTAAACTGGAATACAGTAGAATGAAATATATTGAGAAATCAAACCCATAACAGTAGGAATAGTGAGTTAGATCTTCGATAATTGACAAGTCCTTTGTATGACTTTTACTTCACCATAAGCATATCTTCATGAATGGGTGAGTGAGTATGGTTTTACGCCACCTTTGGCAATGTTCTAGCAATGTCACGGCTGGGGCCACTAGAAATGGGCTTCACACATTGTACACGTGTAGGGAATTGAACGCACCGAGCCTTCGAAGTGACGAGCGAACGCTTTACCCACTAAGCTACCCCACCGTCCCCGCATATATTTATGAATCACAATGAAATAGTGATGATACATTTTGGTCGTGAAAAGGTGAGCGTATCCAAACAAACTGATGGCAAATGATACAACGTGTTTATAGTACACCGTCAGTCTGAAAGCAGCTTCGATACTGATTGTAGTTATTTTGCGAACGGACTAATATTCGCCAGGAATGAAATAACCTAAAACTTATATTCAAAGGACCATTTGGGGTTTCGAGTGAGATCCGTTAAAGAAAACCAATGTCAATGTTTGAGCCAAAAACTTGGAAAAGAAAAATGTTTAGCGTGACTGTAGCAAACAAGCAATATCGAATACTCGTCATTCTGGACATTCACAAACAACACAGAGTTGTGGGACCTAGAAGTTGCTTTGGTTTTTCTTTCCAGAACAAAATCGGGCCAAGGGTTGCTACACACCTGAACAAAAGATCCTTCCGCCTTGAGTATTTGTATCACCATTACAACTGGGATCGGAAGGATGGTCACCATTGCTATAAACCAGCCGACACCAACAGCAGCTTTTGGGTAGTTGTACTCGCCGTATGTGGGAGGCTTGTAGGAAGCCAGAGTAGAAACAAGAGCCACCTGGGCATATATTTTCAGTTTAAAATTATTGCATTAGTCATCAGGTAGTTCCACAGACAGATCAACAACACACGACATATCTGCAAATACTTACAACAAACAATCCCTTCACTGTCATGTCTCCTAACAACAACTGTAGCGGCCATAAGATTTCCGAGTCCCCTGCTGGGATTCGAACCACGGACCTTCTGATCCGAAGTCGGACGCCTTGTCCACATGACCAAACAGGTTAACCCCGTGAGCAGGGTGACAAGGTAAGGATGTCATCGGCAGGAAGACTCCACGCCCTGCTACACAACGACCAAATCGTAGGATTGTTTGTAGTAAGTAAAATTCTTTTTATTCAATGGAAGTGACCTTGACCTTTGACGTCCTCACGTCACGTTTTGAAAGAAATCCGCACACGTTTTAATGTGCGAGATCTTTGCATGATAGACATTGCATTGCACTGACTCCACTGAAAATCTTCGAAAGCAACTCGATACAGTTTAAAGCATGTCCATGACGACTTGTCTAGTCACATTGACAAAATACAGATCTATGTTTAAATTACATCTGTATTTTTTTCAGCTGTTGTAAAGTGGATGCAAACTTGATGAAATTTAAGCATACACACGGCGTTATTCGTTATTGAGATATTTTCCCCTCTGGCACGTACAGTTATCAGAGCTGGGAGGACGATGAAACACACTATCCTGAAGATAACTGGCAGGCGTTTTCCAATCATGGCCTCCACGTCAGATGAGAAACGTTTAGCGCCTGTCAACATACGCACGAGAATGGTGTCAGAAATAGCCTCTACGTCATTGGTTTCAGATATAACATTTACGTCATTGGTTTCATTAATAACAGAACTATGTTCAGGTTCAGCTTATGCATGATGATAGATATGATAAAACTGTTCATTCAAGAAATTATTGCAAGTGTCTATTTGGACAGTGTCTCCCAAAAATGCTGTTGAGCACGGATTCCACGGATTCTCACACGGGCATTATGTGGACGTGTTGGTTTTTTAGTCTGCATGGGATACAATGTTTAATCTTTTTTTCTGACACTATGTTACGAATACCATTATCAAAGGGCAAGATATGGCAAATTATCGGTCTGCATAAGTCCGGTATGTGCTTTAAAGCAATTGGTCATGAAATGAATGTCCACTACATAGGTGTCAGTCGTTTGGCCAGAAAATACAGGGAAAGGAATAAGGTGAAGAATCGCCGTCTGGCCGAACCTTTGTGACGTCAGGGCGTGACGACAGGACACTATTGAGTATCGCTCGATGACAACCATTAGCCACAGGCACTGTTGTGAAAAACACCAATGGCGACCCAACCGTCCCGGTTGTAACGAACTAAAAATTGGTCCTTTAACTTCGTCATAACCGTAGTTTGTTGTTCACTGCATACAATTGCTGAACATTGTGCTTTACATGAAACATATATTAAATTGGCCGTGAAAACACAATACCGTAACACCACCCAACAATGCCACACTCCAGTATGGCCATGACGAAACAGGCTACTGTTCCCATGTACCAGTCCACCAGCTGGAACACGTACACTCCGCCCTGGAACATTTGTACAGTCATCTGAACTTTAATCATTTCCTCAGCAATACAATATTATTAAACATGTGTACACACATTTTCCTTGAAGCATTTTACCTCCAATCCTAAATATTTTCATCAGAATCTCTAACATAAATCCTTCATCTTTCTAACATATCTTTTGTTACTTTCTAACACTCATGTATTTGTATGAAAATTGGAAGTTTATTTAAATATATTCAGTGGATTTTTTTAAAATTCAGTTTTACTCATTAAAAATGTCCTGAACTCTATGAATGAACTGCATCTTTATCTGTTTCCATGGCAACGTTAATGTAAATGCTGATAGATATTGCGTTTCAAGATATTTGAAATTAAATATGTTATTCATCTCCACAAAAGCGGACGTCTTCGCTGCACTGTGTGTGCTGGTACTGTATGGAGATGACGCTTACATGGGTGGTGAAAACAAGACCAGCAAGGAACACGGCCGCCATGAAGACAGCAGCGATGACTGGTCTGGCATGATGACGTCGTGGCAGAATATCTTCGATACAATCGATGGCTGTTTCGACGTTTCCAGCCTTTTGAAAAGTACATTTACCTTTCAATGGAACCATTAAATATGGGTGCTGGCGTACTTAAATATACAGTCATTGTGGGGTTTACTGGAAGATACCTATGCGAGCGAGTGAATGATAAATAATGTTCAACGCAAAATCCGCAATAAACCAAAAATAACAAGACAACATGTACAAAAACTAATCTCAACCCTGTTAAGAAGTGGAGAGTAGCATAAACATCGTCATCAGTGAAGAGCGACAAGAAATTAGCCATATCAGCTATGTCATCCAAGACGGACGTGAGTGAGTGATCGATTGAGTGATTGAGTGAGTGTGTGTGTAAGTGTGTGAGTATGGTTTTAGGCCATCTACAGCAATATCAGAGCAAGGGCCATCAGACACATCGTACCCATATAAAGGATCGAACATGGGACTTCAGGGTAAATAGAGAACGTTAACTTTCATCCCCAACCTGAGGGAAATGACCATGCACTGCCGATCAAATCTGCTATATGACGTATCATGCTTTACTGTGCGTTGTTACCACTGAGTCGATGGACATCATGAGCATTGTGGTGAAGAACAGGACAGACCACAGCTGAGGTAGAGGCAGTAGTGCAACTGCTTCTGGGTAGATAATGAAGGCGATGCCAGGCCCTGCAAGAACAAAACATTTGAGGATAACTTGACATTCAAACTTCACCAAATATACCACTCGGATGACAGCAACAGGGAACCCTTCCCTTACAAATGTCCAAATATTAATCCCTGTAATGACATTTTGATAAAATGTGTTGTTCCACCAGGCTTGTTAAACGGGACTTGCTGAGGCAGTTAATATGATACATTAGCACATATGTGCGTCATACAAGGATATTGTTTTCAACCCTAGCTGTCTATGTAATCTTTACAAATATCAATAATAATATCCAAATTATTTATTACCTTTTTAATGATTTGCCTGGAACATTATTCAAACCTATCATTCAGTGCATTTGGTCAGTTTTCAGATGCATTCACCTGGTATGATCACGTCAGATACAGGCAGCTGGAGATCATGAGCCAAGAACCCAACTGTTGCGAAGACCACAAAACCAGCAAAAAGACTGGTCAATTCGCCAGTCACCGTTACGATGATAGGGTCTCTGTAAATAGAACATTCATCTTGTCGTATGTTCTTATGGTGAGAGAGTTTATTTCGTACAGGGGCCACCGACCTGTAATACAATTTCAAAGATGAGAATACAATCCAGCGCCACACATAATATAAACTGTATGCTAACATGTACAATGTCTCATTTAATTTTATACTCTATATTCGAGACCTTCGCTCTTTTTTTCAATGCAAGGAATATAAACTTAGCAAGATTGTTAACAGTTGTAGAATTGCAAGACAGTAATAAGCTGATGAATTTAGTTTCACATGGATTATTTATGTAGTATTGTGGGAACAGGCTGTTTCTCAGATCACAGTAAAATGCACAATCAATACAGAAGTGGTACTCTGATTCAATGGTAAGTACAATACACAGAGGGCAGAATCGCTCATGTTGTTTTATATTTACTTTTCTCCCATATTCCAACATTAAAGGATGGTCTGAACAACGAAACTTACTCAAAGCAAAACGAAAAACATTGACCTTAACCAGTGACAGATACTCTTCAGAATTAACCCTCAACTTGATAGTTTTATACAACTTTAGCTTAGAATAAACTTTCAAAGAACTTAACCATTCTTGAGTATCAATATCAATGCATCTCTGTTTAAACTGTCTTATGAAATAATCAACATCATTAACCCCCTGATCAAGCCAAATGTGACCAAATCCATATTTAAATAATAATTTCTTTACATCTAGAGACCAACAGTTGATACCTTTGGAAGCCATCTTGCGTTGATAATTATAAACATGTTTCAATATTACATTTTTCTCTTGAGCCAAAAGCCTTAACCAATATTTCATGATTTGTACAAACTGATTAACCTTTACAGAGTAACGTCCAAGTTCACCCCTTGCAACAACATTGGGAGTGATCCTCGATAAATGTAAAACTGACTTACAAACTTTATCATAAACATTAAATATATTAGGTGAGGGATGAAAGCCCCAGACTTCACAACCATGCAACATGATAGGTAAAATTTTAACATCAAATATATGTAGGGTTACAGATAAGGGAAGATTATCAAAATGTTTCAATGACATTTTAACACACTGGAGACGCGTCCATGCTTGAAGTGCTAATTCTTTTTGAGTACAATAAAAGGAACCAGAGCTTGAAAAATGGATACCTAGATATTTTATAGGTAGGGAACAATTTCTACAGAAACACCATTTACAGAGAAACGTTCATACTTTTTAAGAGGTCCTGCTTTTCGAAAACCAACAACTTTAGTCTTCTTGATGTTAATTTTAAGCTTCCAGTCTTTACAATACAAAGAAAGTTTATCTAATTTTTTTTGGCAACCCTAAAACAGTGCTATCAAACATTACAATATCATCTGCAAAGAGAAGAATGAATAATTCTAAAAATTCAAGATTAATATTTCTCTGGTTATCTGCTGCTAAAAAATCAACAATGTCATTAATAAAAGAAAACAAGAAGGGTGAAAGTTGACATACAAACAATCAAAGGCTGGTGTGTAACACATTTTGTGTTGAGACACAAGACTTCACATTTTGGTACATATTTGTTAAGAGCCTGTACAGTTTACCTTTAATATTTCCAAGCCAAAGTTTGGACATTAAACATTGTCTATCAACAGAGTCAAAGGCAGATTTTAGGTCAATAAAACAACAGTACAGTCTTCCTTTATGCAGTGATAGGTACTTTCTAATAACTGTATCTAAAATGAATATATTATCTACAGTTTGGAAGCCAGCTCTAAATCCTGCTTGTTCTGGAGTGATAAAGTGTTCATGTTCTGCCCACTCTGTCAGTCTATTGGCAATGACTTTGGCAAATATTTTCCCTGACACTTCCAGGATTGTGATAGGTCTAAAGTTAGCTGGGTCATTCACACTACCCGTTTTATGCAATGTCATTATTACCCCTAGTGTCCATTCGTTTGGATAAATTCCTGTGGCTAGAACTGAATTGAATAGTTTCACAAGCATATCTATACAAGTCCCGTGTACATTTTTGAAGAACTCCAAAGACACGCCACTATATCCTGGAGCTTTGCCAGCGGGAATGCTGTTTATAGCGTTGACGATTTCCTGTTGAGATATTACTTTATCAAGCCCGATTTCATCAGAGTAGTCTCAATAAGATTATCACTTATTGAATCAACGAAAATCCGAACGGATGCCTGAAATTCTTCGTTGACTGCTGAATTATTTATACCTTGAAAATGTTTCTCAAAATATAAGTTCCAATCAGATGCTGTAATACTGTAATAGGTTTGTGAAGGATGTGCCTTGACTATTTTCCAGAAAGCTTTAGTGTCTTTATTTGACAATGATTCCTGAAGTCGAATTGTCAACTCCTCTGATGCTAGACGCGCTTTCGTAGCACACAGATGCTTGTATTTAGTCAACAGTTCTATATATCGACGTCTATCATCAACTCGGTTAGTTGAGTGAAACACACGTAAAAGCTTCCTGGCCGCGGCTTCAGACTGTTCACCGTCGTCATCAAAACAGTGATTATAACCACTGTGTCTCATGGGACTCTGTGAGACAGTTCTCTTTCACATATTTGCACAAGATTCAAGAATTGATTGACATAATCGAGCAGCTTCACTAACATCACCACAATTTATTTGGTCATTAAACTGATTTATTAGCTCCATACTGACATGCTCCCAGTTGTGTAGATATTCTTCTTCAATCGAAGGATTCCATTTGTATATTGTTTTAGGCATTAGTTTCTCTTTTGGCGCACTTTCTGTCAGGTTTTTGGTGTGTGAGTGAGTGAGTTAACATTTAACGTCACACCGGCAATATTTCAGGCATATAGTGACGAGAACAAAGTTAGTATATATGATAAATATCTGTCACGGTTGTCTGCAATGTACTATAATACTATTATGCAATCATAAGGGGACAATCTTTTTACGATACTTCAACCCGAATAAAAAGCAATATAATAACAGTTTTTGATTACATTAACCTCAGTTAAAACATATCCTTTCAAAAACTACTGAACAATCCTATCTCTTTTAAAAAAACTGTAATTAAATGAGAATTGATTGTGTTAAAAAGACCCTTTAGATGTAAAACTTTGTAATATGTATCCCTTATGAGAGAAAATTCCACACAGTCAAGCAAAACGTGCTTGACCGTGATTGTCTCATCACAATGGATACAAAACGGAGGATCTTCCCCTTTCAATAAATATTCATTTGTATATCTGCTGTGGCCAATACGACATCGTCGTATTGTAGGTGTAACCGATATTTGGTTTTATTGCATGTAATTTATTGATACCTACTTGGGTGTCCCACTGCTTTTGCATGATATCTCTGATATAGCACCTTATGATAGGTTTCATATCTCTGTATGGGATCTGACGTGGTGTCTCAGATTTGTCGAGTGCTGCTTTGGCAGCAGGATCTGCCATTGTGTTACCATGAGTTCAAACATGGCTTGGTAGCCAACAGAAGACGATGATGTCATATTGGCCAGAAACAAGTTCAATATGCAATTCAATAATTGCAGTTAAAAGTGGATGTTCATTTGTCATGTTATTTATGGCTTGAAGACACGAAACAGAATCAGAAAATATTATATACTGGTTAGACTGTGATTGGCTTTTTAAATATTTTAAAGCTATTAAAATGGCATATGCTTCCGCAGTAAAAATGGAAAAATGAGCAGGTATTCTGGATGAGAGAACCATGGATCCAATGACAGTGGCACTGGCAACAGCACCGCCATCCTTTGATCCGTCTGTAAAAATAGCTTTTTAAGTAGCATATGTGTTTCTCAGGTGGTTATATTCTTGCTGATACATAAGTTGAGTTGTTTCTGATTTTGTTTGTTTAGTTAATGTTAAATCCACTTCTGGTTTTACAAACTGCCATGGTGGGGAAGACAGAAGTTGAGTAGGGGCTATATTGTCCAGATTAATGTTAGCTGCAAAAACATCACTTTGTATACGTATTTCAAGGGGTGGGACAAGAGAAGGTTTCTTTGTGTACAGTACTTTATAAAGAGGAAGGTTTGTTGTGAGTTTTAATGAATATACTATAGGCTGATGACTAGATTCTATTTCGTCTGCGACGTCAAAACTAGTGAAAAGTTCGAAGGATTTCTCTAGACAGGTCACGTAATCCACTACACTTTGTCCATCATTAGCAAAGCATGTAATTTTTCCTCGATTCTTATCAGAGAACAGTCTCCCATTACAGATACGTACACCGGTACATTTAGAAAATTTTATGAATTCATAGCCACGTTTATTTTTTAACTTTGTCCTGTGATTGTCTTTAAAATATTCCGTTATCTTCGGTATAGTTGAGGTCATCATCTATGGGCAGATACCGTGCGTCGTCATTCTCGATGACATCAGCGTCTTCACCCGTCCGCGCGTTAAAATCGCCCTGGATAATAACGTGGCAGCTTGGATGTGCATTACGAAAGGCGATTCCGTCATCTTCTAAAATCTGGAGTAACGGTTCACAGCTGGCGTGTGGGTATTTGGGAGGAGAGATATAGACAAGTCCAAACTACAACATGATCTCATCACTCAACTGTATTCTTAACCACATGATGTTAACTGATGAACTCTTAAGCACAGTGACATATTGTCGAATATTTTCCTTAATAAATATTATGTTGCCGCCTGAGTTCCTGAAAGCATATTGATGTTTATCTCTACACTGACTATACACTGTGTATCCAGGCAGTTGGTATGTATCTCCACCGCTGGTCAAGGTTTCAACAAGGGACATAATATCAAATTGGCTTATAAATGACTTGAATGTTTCCTGTTTAAACTCATTATTCAGTCCTTCGATATTCCAATAGACGAATTGCCATAGATCCGACACACGTGAACACGGGTCTTGGCCACACCCCTATTTACTTCTGGAACGTCTGTTGCCTTTAGTCATGTAGAGAGTTTTCACAAGTTCGATGTTTGTTCCAGATTCGTTCAGCCAGTACAACTCGTTATTTGTAATTTGTTTTTTTTTCAACACCGCAAACTTATCTTCTGTTCTTGCTCTGTCCATGTAAAGTTTCAGTTTCTTTCGCACCATTTGTGTATGTTCTGTGAAATCCTGTGATATTCTCATCGTTTCCTCTTTCAGCATTTTGGCAGCCTTAACAACGTTGTTTCGTTGGGTGATAGTTGTAAACACCACTAGAATGGGCCCAGTATTGTCAGAACTAGTAGAGAGTCTCTTCACGTTGATTCAGTTTGACTGGCTCCTTTACCTGCATGGTTTACGTTATCAATCTCTATATTTCTTCTTCTAGGCCATCATCTGTGTTTTCCACGTTATGAAATATCATATTGTTCAGCCTTATGTTGTTTTCTAGTTGATTTACTTTTGTTGTCAGAGTTTGTACTGTTGCTTTTAGTTCTGTATTTTCAATTGTGTTAATTTTGGCTGCAAGTTTAGTGATATTGCCATTCATGTCTTGCGCATAGATTTTATTTCTTTCCTTAATTCAAAGGCTGATATTTCACCTTCTAACGTTTGCTGTTTCTTCGCTGCAGGGGGGTTGGGGTGGGGTTGTCTCGACATCATGACAGAGCAGTAGTAGTAGCAACAGAAGTAAACAAGCCCGCAGACAGAAGCTTGCACCTCGAGGCACGTGCATCACGCGGACTCGCATCAATGGCGTTCGTCGGGACCTTCTCAGCATGTAGGCTATGTAAATCGGCTGGAAATGTCCAATGTTAGCTCTATAAGCTTCATTTGTACAACGCAGATATAATTGTTTAAGTATTTTCATGCATGTCCACAGTCATTCACACTTACTTCTGATGATTATTTTTCTTTATACCGCTGTTTTCACGGAGACCTGTACACATGCGACCTGTCACCATCCACTTGGTGGCGCATCATATAGTGAATATGATCGATATCATTACATGCACCTCTACGACCGGAATAGTCGTAATATCTCACCATTATTATAATCATGCGTACATGTTCTCCTTCTACTGAAATCTGGGGCATGGGTGTCTGAGGTGCAACACTTTGTTGTGCAGAGTTCCGTCCTTCGGCCATGACATGGTCCAATGACCATGAGTGCAAATCCCAGATTTTTTCTACAAGTACATTCACCAAGGAGGTAAACATTAATCACCAGCGATAACTCGACTTGATCGAACTAGAACAAAGCTGAAAGCGTCATAACATACTTGAATAAACTATGTTTATAACGAACTTTCTAATAACAAATTTAGGGATATACACAACTGTTTTGGTCCGTGTCACTTGTTGCATGTTTTTGTCGAAATGCGACGGTCATAAGGAACTAAAACCCTTTGGGTTTGTTATAACGTTAGTTATATGTACCAACGGGATCGCGTGGTCAGGCTTGCTGACTTGGTTGACACGTGTCATCGTATCCCAATTGAGTAGATTGATGCTCATGCTGTCGATCATTGGTTTGCCTGATCCAGGCTCGATTATTTACAGACCGCCGCCATATATCTGGAATATTTCTGAGTGCGGCGTCAAACAACAATCAATCAATCAATGATGACTATATACCTTTTCATTTGACCACCAGGCTGCATGTTATAAAGTAAGAAAGAAATTACCTGATCAGATTTGCATGAAACGAATTGTGTCCTGCCATGGCAATAATGACACCCCAGGTTGTACCAACTGAGAAGAACACTTGAATCAGCGCTTCAAGCCACACCTTAGGAAATAGAAAAAATACATTACAGAAGCATGGGCTTTGTGTGTTGTCAATGGTTCAAGATCTAAAGCATGAGAAGTGCAGGGCTTGTGACGATAATAGAAGTGGAACATGTACATATTGATATAAACAGGATCTATCTAAAATCTTCTCCACGACAATAAACAATGTTTTAACATTAATTCATGTAATAATTTATTTAGAATTAATAGAATTTGTTTACTTCACTTTACGATTCACATTCGTTCGGGAAAACAGTAAAACAAAATCTTGGGAAAATGTATACAATCATCAATATTATATCACTACAAAATTTCCTTTCTTCTGATTGGTTGAATTGCATGACTTGACGACTTGACACGACGTTATGACAACCTCACGGTAGGTTAAGAACTATAAGAGTGCGCATACCCACTCTGCTAAAAAGAGAATGGTAAACTAAGTTAACGTATACTCCACAGGCATCGCTACTGTCAGGTGACGATACTGAGTTGCTTCCCTTTCCCCAAAAAATGCGGATATGTAGATAGATGTGATAATAGTTTTATCAGACAATTTTATCATAGTTATGTAGTTTGGTGCTATGTAATAAACCCGTTATTGACTTCACTTTCGGTTGAGCCAATGATTTATCGACCAAGGTCAGTCAATAAATGTTTAATACATTACATTAACCAAATCTAAGCATGTGTCGCAGACGTGATCTTCCCACACCTGTGGATGCCGGAGGAGGCTGAAGTCTGGGGTCAGGTAGAAGAGAATTCCATCCACAGCACCTGGCATCGTGCACGACCTCACCAGCAGCACCAACAGCAAGAAGTATGGCATCAACGCTGTCACATATAACACCTGTTGGTATTAGAAGCATATGAGGCTGAGGTTTTGAGTGGACAAATGGCTGATAACCTACAGGCCTTTACTGCAAGCTTAGACAACAACGTTTCTAAAGATGGCGATAAAAGATAAACTGATATGGGTAATGTGTGTATGTAGTATATTCAACTTCGTTGCGTATATTTAAACCCCAGTGTCATCTGTACGGAACCAATAAGGTTAGGGATCATCAATATATTTGAGATGTCCCCAAACATAACTATATTCCGTAACATTTGCTGTTCAGTATATCATCTGCTAGCTAATCCACCGCAAATGTCACGGTACAAGCATTAGCTATTTGATCATATCAAGACATATGTTAAACTGGGATTTAGTGTTTCCAAATCAAAGATATGACTTCAAAGAGGGCTCTCTACCAGTTAGAAACAGAACCAACTTTGCAACACTGCAACTTTGTACACCACATTTCACTTAACTGACATATGATACCAGTTTTCTGTACATCATGTTTACCGACTGCTTGAAAAATGACCATGTTGATAATTGGATTGTCATCATTGCTGTTATAAGACCGAGTTTCAATAGTTGCACACATGACAAGCGCTAATATTTACAAGTTCCCTATGACAATATGACAACAGCCACTAAAACAACGTTTTCCTCATATATTTGACAAAAATAAACGCCCATGTATATGACACAAATGCAGTCGTAAATTGTTACCTTTCCCAGAGATTTGATTCCTTTCATGATACAAAGGAATACGACAACACACGTGATGAACCAGCAGATGACGAGATGAGGTTGCATGGCTCCGAGGTTGTCTATCCCTGACGAAACACCTAGAGCCTTCTTCCTAGAGAGGCATAGAACAATGGACCAAATAAGTGTCTGAATATCTGTGCACTTGAAACCTACATATTTCAATATATATTCAAATGTCAAATTGGAAAAGAAACAGTATGAGAAACCACTATATCGTTATCAACTAAGTACATACAGAACAAAGGGAATACAGTACGAAAACAATAGATGCAATGCATACGTAACCCCGCCTCCATAGATACGTGAATGGGAATGTATAAAAGCTGTTCATATTAATTAATAGAGAACAGTGAAGATCTCGGTAAAGAATTGATCTTCAGTAATCCATGCTTGTCGTAAGAGGCGACTAACGGGATCGAATGGTCAGGCTAGCTGACTTGATTGACACATGTCATCGTATCCCAATTGCGTAGATCGATACTCATGCTGTTCATCACTGGAGGTCATATGTTCATTGTGAACAGCAGGAAAAGGGGAGAATGGATATCGTGAAGATGCATTCAGAAAGATTGCAGATCAACAGTGAACGTCATAATTTTTAAAATAACTGGAGGCCACGGACCTGTTCAGTGTTTTCGACTGTATCAAATATAACGATTAAAAGCAAAATTAAGCTTGAATATATCGTGTATTCCTCATAGCCTAATATAATGATAATGGATAGTGATGGATATTTTAATATTTTAATGACACCGTGCCATCTCTTTCATACTGAGTGAGTGAATATTGTTTTACGCAGCTTTTAGCAATATTCCACCAATATCACGACGGGGGACACCAGAAATGGGCTTCACATATTTTGCCCATGTTGGGAATCGAACTCGGATCATGACAAAAGAACGTGACAAAACAACGCTTTAACCACTAGACTACCCCACCGCATCCTTACAGATTGATATCTATTCATAAAAACCTTACACTTTCCATAAGACAGTATGGCAAGAGGGATTGCTTCAACTTTCTCACATTAACCTGTATGTTAAGAAATATGTTTGAAGCTCCAGCCTTTGACATTTTTTAGGTACAATCAACCATCCTCAACCAAGATTTCAACGATCATCATACAACTCATGCTCAGAAGTCGTTAGATCTTGGTTACAATATTCATGGCCACAGTGAAGGTTTCCAAAAGTTTATGGTAGACATGTGGAGAACATTTTCTATATTTGACACATCAGTGACAAAAGTGATATCCGATGCGATTAGTAATAATAATTCATTTATATAGCGGCTAATATCTATCTGACTAGTTGCTCACTGGACGCTGTAATCAGTATCTGATTATTGTTACTCCGGATAACCCAAGCTGCATGTTAGGTGCTAGAAAGTTATAGTCACACGATTCCTATGTTAATTTGTACCATATGTTTTCTTTCGGGACGAGTTGACTAAATATTGCGTGTTTGTGACGGAATACATCTTCGTGGCAGGATACGTTCACCGTTTTGAAGGGGCACTGATCCAGAGCGATTAATGGTTCTCGCCAACAGTCTAATTACGAAACCTTGCTGCAAGCTGGTCAGTACCTGGTCCCTCGACCGTTGCGCACACGGGAACTAGGTTACTGTCCTCTTTGGCAAAATTTCTTCAACCTAAACAGTGGGACATTTGGAATGGTGGATGCCCATCAGATGCCCGGTAGTTCCTTTCTGATTGTAATAAAGTATCCCAGCATTGAAGGCTTTTCGGATTTTCTAATGACTGGATGGTACAGGGACTGATCCAATTTGATCTATTTCTGTGTTTTTTACCTCGATATTTAATCACGTCATGTAAAAATATGATGTCTATTACCTAAAATATTGAAAACACACATTTGATTGATTTGAATCCGGAAACTAAACAACCCCACTTTGCCATTGCAAGTAAAATCTGAAAATTACTTAGGTATATAGGTATATACAGTTTTTAACTTAAGTACACAGTAAACGTTTATATGTATTTTTTATGCAACAATCAAGTTCCGTTTGTATCCTCAAAACTGTGTCGGCCCATAAGTTTGCATGCAATTAAAATTGCAAGTAAAACGCAATACAGCGATTACTACTCCCTTGCTGTAATCCGTGTTTGGTGGTATTAACCTACACATGTTATTTGGTATCATTCACTTGATGGTCAGTTAATGAATTTATAACAGGTATAATTAGTGGTAACACCAATCAGATTAGCCGACAAAGGATCCTATTTGGCATTTCTCGTGTCTGGAGTAAAGATAGAAAATGAATATAACCGAGTAAAAAAGATTTCATCTTTGTTGATCAGTCTATACTTATACTTTCACTTGCGCATGTAGGTGGCGCAGCAGGGGTCACGAACCAGCCAAGAATTCTGGGATATCATCCGGGTTCTCACGGGAGAAAAACAACAACAAAAGCAACAACCAGTCCACGGAACATCTTTTCCAATCACTCTTTGACAATGATGAACACATGATCATGAAATAGTCGGACTCTTACGCACGACTTTTGTGGCAATAGGAAGGGTATTTCATATTATTTGCCTGGACACAAAACTAACACTAGAAATATACTCACTGAAAGAATTGTTCCGTTGAGGTATGCTCAAACGTGTTTGAAACCCTTTCGGTTGTATTGATATCCATGTAACTAATACCACCTCGTCGAAATTCCGTAATATTGGTGATGGCTTGCACAGGTTTCAACTGAGCAGACATTGAACTGTTTTGTCTTGCTTCCCCCACAACCACACACTGCAGCGTGTTCCATGAGTTGCCACAGGTGGTCCAGGGCAGGACGGCGGAGAAGGAGCTGTACAGGTAGTAGAGGGCCCAGGCAAACACCACGCCGTAGCATGGAATGATCATACAAGAAATTGAAAAGATGCAGGTGCCAATACCTAGAAGCAAGGAAAGTGAAGCAGCTTTAATGTCCAATCATAAGGACATTTGTAATGCTCAGAATTCCTCATCGCGGAGGAGCACGCTCAAAGCGCTAACATACAATGTGATTATTATTACCCTGGATAACCCAAACTGCCTGTGGGGCGCTAGAAGGTTATAGTCATATGACTTATCTCACGAGGTACCCTTTTTCTGCTTGTTGAACAGAGGCAATTTTGAACAAACCCACTTGCTTTGTTGTGGGGCAGGACTGAAATCCTTGAATCTCTCAGGAGTCAAGCTGTTACACACGGTCACCCATCCAAGGACTCTCCGGGCCCAACGTTGCTTCAAGTGATTTGTGTCCTGAGCTCTATGCACACACCACCAATACCACAGACGAACTGGTGAATTTACAAGCGATTTACTGACTATGTTCACTACACATTTCTAGGTTGCCAGCATGATTATCTTGAAATAATGTAATGCATTAGAAAAATCGGAAAAGATGGATAAATATTTCAGAACTCGACCTCAATTTATAAAATCCCACCTCTCCACCCCAAACCCCCCCCTTTACATCGGTTCTTGGATTTTAACCCGGTTTTTCTTGACTAGCCCATTGCAAGACACAAATACATGTTATATTGTTTGGTCCAGTTCTGGGTACTAGTCTGGGTACTAGTCTGGGTACTAGTCTTACGGAAAATTAAATGGTTTCCTCCTTCTGTTCTGTCGGCTGTTTGTCCTACATGAGGATGATGCTCAATAAAGTAATCTGGTAATAGGAATTCTGCTCATGGATTTAGAGCAAAGAACTGAACAGCAGGACTCAATTTGTATTCATATACCATACGTTGTATGTCATTAGTTTTTCTGTTCTTGCATTTCAATTGAAAATAATACCGTTTGGAAGCCAAAACAATTATGGAAACCTGTATCGACTTTCGTCGTTAGATTTAAGAATAATTCAGATGTTTTTCACAAAGTAATATCCAAATGCATACATCGTATGAGGATGCAACATCATTCACCCTGTGCGTATTGCGTTCCTTATATGAGACCCGTGAAGATCCGGGTTTGAATTGATTTTCAGTAACCCATGCTTGTCGTAAGAGGCGACTAACGGGATCGGCTGGGGGTAGGGGGTGGGGGTGGTTGGGTTGTTCAGGCTTGCTGACTTGGTTGACTCGTGTCATCGTATCCCAATTGCGTAGATCAATGTTCATGCTGTTGATCACAGGGTTGTCTGGTCCATACTCGATTATTTACAGGCCGCAGCCATAAAACTGGAATATTGCTGAGTGCGACTCACTCCTTATGTGTACCAGAAACGTGGGTTAGAATCCTATATCCACTCTGTATCTGTTTCTAGGTTTGCCAGCACCATGCTTGGGGTCATTATCTCACAACTGGTGGCAAATGCTATGTCGGCAGTTATACAAGCCTGAACGTCACAGTGCCATTACCTTTCATGAGCGGACATATCGCCCAAACGTTAATTGGTCCCTTAGCCGAAAACTGACCAAGAGCCACTTCCAGGATGAAGAGAGGGATGGCAATCACAGTTGCAGAGATGGCGTAAGGAATCAGGAACGCTCCTGTGAAGAAACATTGTGCAATACACAATACATGGCTATGTTTGTAGTCGTAGTAGTTGGAGAAACACACGGATCATCTATATGTGAAATACAACGATGCAACAGCTGGTTTATTATTAAGCAGTCTCATGTTACATACCTTGTGTGATACATATTACTACCAGAAGGAACGCAAAGGATGAAGAGTACGACGAGTGAGTGAGTTTGGTGGGTGCGTGGGTGAGTGAGTGAGTGAGTGAGTGAGTGAGTGAGTGAGTGAGTGAGTGAGTGGGTGGGTGGGTGGGTGAGTGAGTGAGTGAGTGAGTGAGTGAGTGAGTGAGTGAGTGAGTGAAATTCTTCGTCTCTTCATAAAATCTTCAGCGTCTCGGCGAAGTGACATCAGACAAAAGCATTAGAAGATGACAACCACCCAATACCGATCGAAGAGGTTGCACAGTGCCCCGCTGATGGTAGCTGACAGTTCAGTTCAGCACCATACATTCATCTGTACAAGTGGTTGATTTATGAATTATAACCCAGCCCATATAAATACCAAATACCATATGAATACCAAATACATATGAATTCCATATTCTAAAGGATGTGTTGATACTCACCACCTCCATTCTTTTGACAAACATACGGGAACCTCAACAGGTTCCCAAGTCCAACCGAAAATCCAAGAACAGCAATGATCGACTGGAAAGTGTTGGACCATTGAGGTTTCCTCAAATTCCCGTTTTCGAGATTTGCATTAGTTGTATTTTCAGCCTGTAAACATAATGTATTATAACATTTTACAGCAGTTTGTCAGAGGTTTAAGCGTATAGACCCTCATAGAAGTATGCCAAGACAGAAGCACATTGGAAAACGGTATCAGTACCTCGACGGGAGGTATTGGGGGTATTTAGACGTTGTTGTACATCAGGACATGAGAAGATTTATGAATAAGAATATCGTGTTATTTGTCATGGCATTTCAGTGTTACTACTGGTGTCTTCATCGGGTAAATAACAGACAAAGTATTCCATGGAGCAAAGCTACAAAAAATATTATTATAGACATGTGTGTGTGTGTATGTGTCTGCGTGTGTGTGAGAGACAGCTTTTAATCCATATATCAAACAATTAAACACACGTATTCATTTATCTCCAGGAACAGGAACAATCCACAAATTTTATCTCATCATACACACAAAATGTAACAATAACAATTATCTGCATTTTAGAGTATTATCTTACTGTTCCATTGTTGACGACTATGGACAAACATGTCTCTTCCGTTTCCACATCCATTGCTCTTTTCAAAGCTAAGCCTTCAAAGGTCGAGGAGGAGTTTGACCAAGGCTGGGAAAAAAGAGTAGTAGCCTATGATATTACTTCCCCGTATACGAACTGGCATAGATCAAACCTTATCCGAAGACGAACCGACCAGGGGGTTGCTTCAGCCTGTCACTGTGTACAT